GTGTGTGTGGTGTGTGCTGTGTGTGTGTGTGTGTGTTGTGTGTGGGTGTGTGTGTAAGGGAGGGGGTAGACCCTTGGTGTTAATCTATGCCATTTCACTCAAATTACATGTAATATAATGCATTGTCTTGATTAATTTGCACATCATGTTCTCGATGTATATTCTTATTTTCGCATTAATTTCCAGTTTAAATGTATAAACTCAGTTCTTCTTTACATGCATTTATGATGTAATCATGATACGCAGGCACTTAATTCTTAGTATAGATTCGCGTATAATTCTGGCCTGGTAGATTTCCAATTAACCTTCGGGATTAATGAAAATCCATAAAAATGTCGGAAATTAGGATTGATCAGATTCCCATATTGTATTATTCCTCATTAAGTTATTAGGAGTAAGGACCAGGAATCATGTTTCACCTATATAGTTAATTTATAAACAGGCGTGTGCTTCACGTGTCTCGTTATATATGCTATTAATCTCGTTTGTTTTTGTTTCTTTATTATATATGGTTGATATTATTTAGATTATATTCTATAAGTAGTTCAACCCTTTAGTTTTGCCGAGTCTCGTTCCTATTCAATTTAGCATTTTTAATATATATGTATAGTTAATGTATACCGTCGTTGAACGGGGCGTTTGAATGTAAACACAAACGCTTGCTCCTCAGATTTCGACCAAGACCAACTCCTGAGCAAATACGACCTCGAAAAGACGGTGAGGTGCTCTCACGAAGGACATCTGAATCAGGAAGAGATAGACATGGTGTGCGATAAGGTAAAACACCCATGCACCCATTAAAGCGCGTAGCCGATGCGCGGCCCACGCATGCGCAAACAAAAACCATTGCCCCAGAAGTAGATGTAGCGCTACGAGCGGAGCATGAGCCTATAGAACCTGTGACTTCCCAGCATTGGTGGATACCCTCGCGCGCTCGTGCAATTATACTGGAGCAAATAGAGTCGTTAGCATAATATTTATCGTGCGCGCAGTCGCCAACGCGCGTCGCCTATGCATTACGCTTTTGTCGCGTTTAGTAGTAAAATATCGCAAATCTGTTCGTAAAGGGCTCGCTGTGTGTGCGTGTGAGGGACGTGTGAAAGCGCGTGCCAGCACGATTAGCTCAGCTTGATGGTGTTTGCGCGACGTATAGTTTCCGCGTAGGGCGGTATAGGAGACGTAACGATATATGACCACGTCTACGTTAATGACTTTGTGGTGACGAGATAGCGTTCCCTTGTTGTCGAACAACGAATGCCTATTCAGAAAAAAATAATAAGATTAACCGAAGACCACAAGACAATTCCATTTGTTACGCAGAGTCATTTATAACGGCGATGTAAGACGCTCTTATTCCACACGATGCCTTAAAATAACACAGTTTATGTACATAAATAATAAAAGTATGTGCAGGTTATTCCATTTTGCTACAGGAAGTTCATTATTGCGGGTTACTCGAACACGAACGTGTGTAAAGAAAATTACATGTCACAGACTCGAAGATTCTGTTCAGAAAACATGTATTTTGCAGAACAAAAACATTAATAAATTCCTAGGAATTCCCATTTTGTTAAAAAAAATCCCCAAGAATTATTGCAGTAACGACTACCGCATTCATGCATTTCTACCTTTATTTGACGTTTCATTATTCTTTCGGAGGAAGGGTGCTGTTGCTCCGTAAAATCGTTGCTGCCAGTTGCTCCAGATAAAACACATTATACGCTTGTCGTAGTTGTCGTCGTTCGCGAACGCTGTACGCATATACACGTATTTTTGAAAGAGCCATATTTTCCATGTAAAATGTTTCCCCTTTCCCCCCAAAAAACAAGGTAATCATTAAACACAATAAAACTATTGATATGTGAACTCGATTGAGTTCAATAGGGTTTGTATTACTACTGGCTGGCAGCACCTATGCCTGTCATTCGTTCAGAGCGCTCGTTCAACGTTGATTTTCTCATTACTAGTTGTTTAATATAGTGTCGATTGTTGCTGACATCGTCTATCATCTATTCGCTAGCGTTGATTATTATTTACAATTTATTTATTCGAGATGGAACTCATGTACTACTATACTAGTACGGGTGTGTCGATGTACGGATATATCAAACACAACAGATTCGTGCGTTCGTGCTTCATGTGCGGCTTGTAAACACCCGCATCTTCACCGCGTCTTGTAAGCAGACGCACGGTTTATGCGTAAACACGCGGAAATCACTATGTTTATTTTAATTTAGCGCTCTTGTGGGAATGTAGGCTGTAACCGTTTCTATAGCTGCCATGCAGGGAGGAGCTTTGTCTGTGTATGTGCGTGTGTGCGTGCCCGCGTGCCGTGCGTGCGTGGTGCGCTCGTGCGTGCGGTGTGAGCGTGCGTGCGTGCGTGTATATATATATATAAGCTTCCGTATGTGGCGTTTCGTGCGCGCGCGGGTGTGTGTGCTGCGTGCTACGGCGCGCGCGTGAGTGTGCGTATGTGTGTAACCCACATGTCCTCTCTCTCTCTTCTCTCTCTCTCTCTCTCTCTCTCTCTCTCTCTCTCTCTCTCTCTCTCTCTCTATCTCTATCTCTTTATATATATCTCTCTGCCACGCAGAACCACACATGGAAGCGAATGCTTGAACAGAATGAGAAGCCTCAGCACGGTCCACCGCCCCGCGCGATCAAGATCGCCGCCTTTTCTTCTAAACCACACTCGTTAAACACACGCGCGTGCGCCCTGTCTGGCGACCGGACACCAGGTGCGTGCATGTATACCGATTGCGACACGAGACAAGAGGTCAGGCGGGGATGAGAAGTATGCGGACGGACTAGAATACGCTCGGACGGCGGCGACGGCGACGGCGTATCTTACCTGAGAATCTCCTTCCGCGTAAAGAACGTGCAGTCCTGCAACAGGAAACGTATCGGCGGGCTGGGTTAGCACACATAAAGAGGCCCTTCGTCGGTCGTTTTCTATAGACGCGCGCGCGTAAGCACAGATTTCAACGTTTGCTTTGAAACTGGTTCGGCGCTTAGCTTAGCGCGGGCGTACGCTCTCGACGACAAAGGCCGACCGCTCGGAGTTCCAATATTTTCTAACCGTGTACAGCAAACTCTTATAAAAGCCCGCCGTCGTTCACATCGATAATATTATCAAAATAATAGGGTACACGGTCCCTCGAGTTGTACTCGGGGGGGGGGGGTGATTGCAGTACGGAATAGCGGCGGTGGAATGCGTCGGCGGTTTGCTTTGTGGCGATGTTGATTATCGTATTTTATAGTTACGCCGGCAGAAAAAAAAATTTCGCTCACTAAATCAACGCGCATGAGCATTGACCACGACACGCGTTCTCACGACGTTTCAATATAAATAAACGCGTGTTCTAATAATATATTTACGCTTCGGCTCAATTTTTTTAAATTTTTAATCGCATTATTCGTAATAACCCCTTTATCAGCTGCATAGTAGGTTTATAACAATGGTCTAACGCAGACGGGGTTCGCGCTATGTCAATATCATTCCCTGTCAGGGCACGGTGGGGTGCGCAACAATCATCGTGTATGCCAGTTCAACTAACAATAGCTTCACTGTGCAGCAGTGTAATAATCAAGTATTAATTGGCGATTAATAAAAACATTGTCATGCAGACGTATTGCGAGAGAAGAAAAGCTCTCTTGTGATTTATTTGATGTGATTTATTGGGAGCTTATGTGTTATAAAAACATGTACTGTATCGCAATCTCTGTTTTCTCTACCCATCTTGCTTTTGCATGCGTGTCGCTCGCTCTCTCTCTCTCTCTCTCTCTCTCTCTCTCTCTCTCTCTCTCTCTCTCTCTCTCTCTCTCTCTCTCTCTCTCTCTCTCTCTTTATCTTTGTCTCTCCTCCTTTCTCTTTCGCGCACGGTCTCTTGTTTAATGATTACCTTGTTTTTTGGGGGGGAAAGGGGAAACATTTTACATGGCAAAATATGGTCTCTTTCAAAAATACGTGTATATGCGTACAGCGTTCGCGAACGACAAACACACTAGACAAGCGTATAATGTGTTTTATCTGGAGCAACTGGAGCAACAGTTTTACTGGAGCAACAAGCACCCTTCCTCCGAAAGAATAATGAAACGTCAAATAAATGGTACCAATTGGATTATTGTTCGATCTCAGTTAGAAATGCATGAATGCGGTAGTCGTTACTGGCAATAATTCTTGGGAATTTTTTTTAACAAAATTGGGAATTCCTAGGAATTTATTAATGTTTTTGTTCTGCAAAATACATGTTTTCTGAACAGAATCTTCGAGTCTGTGACATGTAATGTTTCTTTATATACGTCCGTGTTCGAGTAACCCGCAATATTGAACTTCCTGTAGCAAAATGGAATTACCTGCACATACTTTTATTATTTATGTACATAAACCTGTGTTATTTTAAGGCATCGTGTGGAATAAGAGCGTCTTACATCGGCCGTTATAAATGATCCTGCGTAACAAATGGAATTGTCTTGTGGTCTTCGGTTAATATCTTATTATTTTTTTCTGAATAGGCATTCGTTGTTCGACAAACAAGGGAACGCTATTCCGTCACCACAAAGTCATTACGTAGACGTGGGGTCATATATCGTTACGTCTCCTATACCGCCCTACGCGGAAACCTATACGTACGCGAACACCATCAAGCTGAGCTAATCGTGCTGGCACGCGGCTTTCACACGTCCCTCACACGCACACACAGCGAGCCCTTTACGGACAGATTTGCGATATTTTACTACTAAACGCGAACAAAAGCGTAATGCATAGGCGACGCGCGTTGGCGACTGCGCACGATAAATATTATGCTAACCGACTCTATTTGCTCCAGTAGTAATTGCACGAGCGCGCGGGGGTATCCACCAATGCTGGGAAGTCACAGGTTCTATAGGCTCATGCTCCGCTCGTAGCGCTACATCTACTTCTGGGGCAATGGGTTTGTTTGCGCATGCGTGGGCCGCGCATCGGCTACGCGGCTTTAATGGGTGCATGGGTGTTTACCTTATCGCACACCATGTCTATCTCTTCCTGATTCAGATTGTCCTTCGTGAGACACCTCACCGTCTTTTCGAGGTCGTATTTGCTCAGGAGTTGGTCTTGGTCGAAATCTGGAGGAGCAAGCGGTTTGTGTTCACATTCAAACGCCCCGTTCAAGACGGTAATACATTAACTATACATATATATTAAAAATGCTAAAATTGAATAGGTAGCTATAGGAACGAGACTCGGCAAAACTAAAGGGTTGAACTTACTTATATAGGAATATAATCTAAATAATATCACCCATACTATAATTATAGAAACAATAAAAAAACACGAGATCTAATAGGCATATATAACGAGACACGTCGAAGCACACGCCTGTTATAAAAATTAACTATATAGGTGAAACATGATCTCCTGGTCTCTTACTCCTAATAACTTTAATGAGGAATTAATACCAATATGGGAATCTGATCAATCTAATTTCCGACATTTATTTATGGATTTTCATTAATCCCGAAGGTTAATTGGATAAATCTACCAGGCCAGAATTAATACGCGAATCTATATAATGAATTCAAGTGCCTGCGTATCATGATTACATCATAAATGCATGTAAAGAAGGAACTGAGTTTATACATTTAAACTGGAAATTAATTCGGAAAATAAAGAATATACATCGAGAACATGATGTGCAAATTAAACGACAATGCATTATATTACATCTAATTCGAGTGAATATGGGCATAGATTAAACCAAGGGTTCTACCCCCCCCCCCTTACACACACACACACACACACACACACACACACACACACACACAC